TAGTGTGACATACGACGCAGCCTGGGCCGGAGCAGCTCCTTGTAATAATAACAAGATGCATTTGTCTTGTAAAGTGTATTTTTCCAGCCACTCACACACACTTTACTATGACGTGCATTTTTCCCTGACTGCTCCTCCACGCTGACTTATCATTTTAGTGTACACACGCCTCGGGGAATTTCAAAACACGAGTATTTTACAGCTTCTGTCAGAAAATGTATCTACTCACCCTGACGTCTGGTTAAAAGAGAGAATTATCGTACATGGCAGACTAAAGTACTTCTGGATCTTTTTGTATATGATAACTACTCTTTAATACTTTAAAGCTGCACTATGTAACTTTTTTAGAGGGTCTGCCACCTGGTTGTCCCCATGCCAATGTTATTGCCTTGTCTGGAATGTTCCACAGTATGGTATTAACCCTTGTGCACCCCAACTGTGGTCCTTCGTGACAAAAAATCTACATTGAAAAAAAATTCCACAATATTTTTACGCAGTACAGATTTTTGTCAATTTTTTTTATATATATATATATCAGTGTCTTCATTTACTTCTGCCCCAATCATACAGACCAAATACTGTATAATATTTTGGAATTTTAACCTTTTAAATGCCATTTTTGACAGCAAATGTCTCAAATTTGTGTGCATAAAAAATGAAAGAACTGGATTATTTTGGTATTTTTCAAATCATTTTAATTTTATTTGTTTGTGTTGGGGTTATCAGAGGTTGGGGATGTCAAAAAATAGTGCCAACACTGATTTTTACATTCTTTTAGTTTTTGCACAAACTCAAATAGTTACACCTGTGATCCTTTGTGACAAAAAAGAAAAGAATACCACAATATTTTTATGCAGTAGAGATTTGTGTTAAACTTTTTATATCACTGTCTTCATTTACATATGGGTCCGGTCAAGTGGTAACGGAGGGAAACAGGGCAGATTTTTGACATTCAAATGTCTCTTATTCAGAAACTAGAGGAACTATTGAAATAAGTAAAGTATCAGAATGTAGGAAAGAGTTACACTCCAACAGGGTCAAGTTAAACCTGTGATATTCTTTCAAGTTGTTGACAAAAAATTTAAAAACTCATGTCGGTAACGGAGGGAATGAAATATGCAGCACTTTTTGGGCAATAAATACAAACAGTGATAACTCTTGGTTCTCACTTACATATCCTTAACAAACTGGTTTGAATATTTGCTTCATATAGTTTTCTACCATATGGTACAAGATTAGGTTGAAAAACCTCTTACTTTTTGAGTAATGAGATTTTTTATTAAGAAAGGTCATGGTAACCTTTAAATCATGTCCCTTCATCAACAGTTCAAAGATGGAATAACACAAGATATGATGAAATACATCCATTTATTTACATGATTTGCAGGTCTTTGAAATTTGGGAAATAATTTTTGTTCCATGTTTCATACATGGTCTGTTTAAAACGTATGGAACTTTTGAACCAAAAATGGTACAGAAAAAAGGTCAAACAGTTTTCATAAACTAGAGTACATATGTATCTGTTCAATACATTTTTATATCAGATGCATTAACTTGAATTTTTGGCCTTGATGTTTACTTCTGCTTAACCGGGCCCCTCTGCTGTAATCATACACACCAAATACAAGAAGATAGAAAGGTTTAATGCCGTACTGTGAGACATTCCAGATGAAGCAATAACATCTCCACAGAGAAAAGGTTTTGACGTCCCCTCCACCGCTTCACCTTTAAACAACGCGTGGAAAAACGTAAGACGACGTTTACAATACGTCAACAAATATCCGTCAGAGTCAAAGATCCTTCACGGTTGACGGTTCTATTTGCCCAGGACCGCGCCGTAAATTCCTACCCCAGCCCAGTGTTTGCTCAAGGGCAGCTCGGACGCCCCCCCCCCCCGCGTCAGCCTGTGGCCCGACACCACTTTCACACCAACACAACAGCGTCCCCGAGGCACAGCTGCTCCTCCAACACGTCCTGTCTAAATGCTTGCTCCATTATATCAGTGGATTTACAAATTTCCTGGACGTTTACTCATTTTAGCTTCATCGTGCCCCCGCCCCGGCCCGTTTCTGACCTGGGATTACCGACATCTATTGGTAAAAAGCAGAGGTTAAACTGAAAACTACCGCTTCATGACATCACAAGGTGGAACAGAGCGTTTTGAGCTTTGGAAATGTAGATAGACTAATAATAAAGTGTTACTCAAACATGTGAATGAAACAAACCCAACTCCAGGTCTGTTTTTGAGGAAGTAACAGCGTTCTAAAATGGCTAACTTTTCAGCTGGAGTCCGTCACCTGCTTGTTTCTATGGATACATCATTGTTCTGCCTGGAATGTTCCACAGTGTGACATTAAACAGCTCTACGTTACATTGATGCAAATACACGTATTTTTTTGTTTGTTTGTTTTTTAGCTCAAAAATACCTAGAAAAAACTGCGTTCTGACTGTGAACAGAGTCGCCTCTCCACAGATCTGACCTGTAACTTGGTTTGGTTTGGTCTTCATGATGATAAGAAGGTTTAACCCTTTCAGACCGACAATATTGTATACGATGCCTGGGAATATGTTTTAAATAACTGTGCATAACTTTCTAGCCATGAAAGATAGAAACTTACTTTTTTTTCCCTTGAAAAGCTGAGAATTGCCTGATTCATCAGATCATTTCACTTCACGGAAACCGTCTGACCTTGCAGCATTAGGATTCATTCAATTGATGGTAGGTGGGTACTTTTTTATTTAACCAATCGCTGTTATTTGGTCTTGATGTATGTAATGTGCCGCTAACGGGACTAACTGGTATATTTAGCTTTTCCCAAATCCCATAGGAAGAAGGACAATAACGTCTTTCCCCTTGATAAAATTCATCAAACATTCTCTTTGTTCTGGCTTTAAATCCTCGATCTCAGGAATCGTTGACAACAGTGAATGTATGACTCTTCACTGATTGTCTGGTGCCCGAACTCGCACTTCCAGGGTTCTTGGAAACCATCTATGTCAGGGGTGTCAAACTCATTTTGGTTCGGGGGCCGTATCCAACCTACTTTGATCCCAAAGGGGCCGGATCAGAAACTCATGTCATATAAACCCCAAAAATAACAATAAGTTCAAATATTTGTGCAGAGAAACACAAATCTATTACAGAAATCTTTTTTAATTGATGAATTCTTTCTTTTACAAAATATTATAATATTAGAAACAACCTGAAACTTGAAACCTGAAAAATGTAATTTCAACACAATGTTTTAACATGAACTTGTATGTAAATAAGAATAAGTCAATTTTTCTTGTAAAATCCTGCACTCAGCGTCCACTTTTCTCATGTTGGACATTTTTCTGATGAGGGTGTCACGGTCAACAGTCAAAACGATCGTCCTTTAAGAGCGTTTAGAAACAGACAAGTCTTCATTTGTGCTGCTCTGGTGGGAGGGGCCACGTACAGAGACGCTGGAGACGCTGCTGTGATAAACACCACAGAAAATAAAACAAGATTTTAATAGAAAAATATAATTAAAATATTTTAGTAGAAAATCAGCCTCTTAAAGGCCCCGGGCCGCATGTTTGACACCTGTGATCTATGTATTCTGATTCCTGACCTAGTCGCTGGAGAGCATATTTCCAACATTATTGTACACCACTTTGCTTTAGGAACTTTGTTTTCCGCCAAACTCATGTGCTACGTCCATTTTGATTGGGCCAAACTTTGCCAAAGAGTGTAGTGAGTCAAAATGTTCGTATGCTCTGAGCGTCTGTGTTCATAACAGTTGAAAAAGTCACTCCAAGTGCAGTTATTCTCAAATAAATGACAAATTATGCATCCTGATCTGTGTAATTGCACATCCATTGCTATTTTTATTTGAAAGGTTTATTTCAGTCCAAATGTCCAAATCCAAATGTAATAAACTCCATGGAAATGCAGGAAGTGATGTGGCTCTGTGCCCTGGACCTGACACCAGCTGTTTCTATGGCTGGCATCAGGAAAGTCATGAGGCCATTGCACTTTTGTTTTGTTTTGTTTTGAGGCAATAAGTATATTTTTATTTTTACTTACACACTTGATATCTTGCACTTTTGTAGTTAAGATCCTACATTAACCATTTTTCATGTCCAAAAAGTTATGCTGTGTGTTTTGTATGAAAGAGCGTGAATTTTATATTTCGTTTTTTTTGTTTTGTTTTGTTTTCATGTGTGTTTCTGGTCCTGTAGCTTTTATTTCAGCCATATGACACAAGTACAGCAGCAGATTGTGAAATAACAGGTTGTAGACCTGGTTTAGTCCTGGTTTAGTCCTGGTTTTATTCCTGGTTTTGTCCTGGTTTAGACCTGGTTTGGTCCTGGTTTCAGCCTGGTTTTATTCCTGATTTTAGTCTTGATTTTAGTCCTGGTTTGGTCCTGGTTTAGACATGGTTTAGACCTAGTTTAGACTTGATTTTAGTCCTGGTTTAGACCTGGTTTAGACCTGGTTTAGACCTGGTTTTATTCCTGGTTTGGTCCTGGTTTCGACCTGGTTTAGTCCTGGTTTCGACCTGGTTTTAGTCCTGGTTTGGTCCTGGTTTCGAGCTGGTTTAGTCCTGGTTTCAACCTGGTTTTAGTCCTGGTTTCGACCTGGTTTAGGCCTGGTTTTATTCCTGATTTTAGTCTTGATTTTAGTCCTGGTTTAGACCTGGATTAGTCCTGGTTTTAGTCCTGGTTTAGTCCTGGTTTGGTCCTGGTTTTAGTCCTGGTTTGGGCTTGGTTTAGTCCTGGTCTAGACCTGGCAGCGGATTGAGGAATAACAGGTTGTACTGAAAAAAAAAAAGTTTTAATACCAAAATTAAGGACGAGGACAAACATACTAAAACTGCCCTTAGGTCTGGAAGGTTTAATGCCATACTGTGAAACATTCCAGATAAATTACACAATTTAAAGCTCACAAAAGTGCGTTTAGTGTAATACTGGACCTTTGACATACAGTATTGAAGCGTTCAGATGTGAGTGGAGCAGAAAACGTTCGCTGGGGTTGAATGTACTAACAAGTCTTAATGCGCGCCGAGGGACCAATTCATTATCGCCACTTCGCAGAGCTGGTTGGTTCTGGTTTACGGGGGTTTTCTGAGGCTACCCGTAAGTGTTTGACAAATTGAGTAATGCACGAGTGAGTCCGAGCTTCCTGTTTTATTAGGCAACGCGTCGGGGAGGTTTTGCCGTTCCATTCAGAAGTTGCAGTGTTTTATTTTCAATTGTTTATCGCTACGGCAACAATGCTACTTTTCCTTCCAGAATTTGACGACGTTGTAAAGGCTGGACTACAAATTTTGCTAAAAGACAGTAAAAAAATGATTATATTTACGAATTGACTCAAAATAAAATAAAGAAAAAGAGTTCCCAGTCTGTCCGTTTGATTAAGTTTTATTAAATTTGACTTCCTGGTTGGAAATCATGACATCACAGTAGAGAATAACAGAACGGTTACCTAGCAACCACGTCGTAAACTAGGCCAAAACTCGTCTAATGTGCACAGAAAGTCTGACCTGACAAATACAAATATAAAAGAACAACTTTATTTCTTTAAATTGTGTTTAAAGTATTAGGAGAATTTGTTTCTTGGGTAAATTGTTTAGTCCTGGTTTAGTCCTGGTTTAGACCTGGTTTAGACCTGATTTAGACCTGATTTGGACCTGGCTTTAGTCCCCGTTTGGACCTAGTTTAGACCTGTTTAGTCCTGATTTTAGACCTGGCTTAGACCTGGCTTTAGTCCCCGTTTGGTCCTGGTTTAGACCTGGTTTAGTCCTGGTTTAGTTCTGGTTTAGATCTGGGTTAGACCTGATTTTAGTCCTGATTTAGACTTGGTTTAGACCTGGCTTTGGTCCTGGCTTAGACCTGGTTTAGACCTGGTTTAGACCTGGCTTTAGTCCTGATTTTAGTCATGGTTTTAGACCTAGTTTTAGTCTTGGTTTTAGTCCTGGTTTAGACCTGGTTTAGTCCTAGTTTAGTCCTAGTTTAAACCTGGTTTAGACCTGGTTTGGTCCTGGGTTAGTCCTGGTTTAGTCCTAGTTTAGTCCTGCTTTAGACCTGGTTTTAGTCCTGATTTAGTCCTGGTTTAGACCTGGCTTAGACCTGGCTTTAGTCCCTGTTTGGTCCTGGTTTAGTCCTGGTTTAGTCCTGGTTTAGACCTGGTTTAGTCCTGGTTTTAGACCTGGTTTAAGACCTAGTTTTAGTCTTGGTTTTAGACCTGGTTTAAGACCTAGTTTTAGTCTTGGTTTTAGTCCTGGTTTAGTCCTGATTTTAGGCCTGATTTAGTCCTGGTTTAGACCTTTTTTTTTTTTTTTTACAAAAATTACTTTTACTTTTATTACTAATTTCCTAAATATTTTTCAACATTTCTTCACAAATTGCTTCTTCATTTGTGTAAAAAATCATGTATATTTACTACAGACTATTATTTAACCAATTTAAATCAAAATTGTAGAATTTCTGATTACCCTCTGACATCACGAGGTGGAACAGAGCGTTTACAGTCTGAGAGAAGAACTCATTATCACCTGTACAAAAAACAATTGTCAACATACAGTATCTGACCTTGTGCAGTATTTCTATAGATATTTGGTTGAAGTAAACAAAGACATGATGCAGTAAAGGTGAAAAACACGGCAGCAGCTCACCTCACGTCTATAACATCAAAGCAGCTTCAAGACACTTAAATTACACACTTCACTTCAAAGTTGCAAAGAAATTACTTATTAAAAAACTGTATTTCATGGTATATATTTTGACTTGAGTCCTGTATACTTGTGCGCTGTAATTATCTGCACACAAACTCACTTTAACAGGAGCTTTTTGGAAAGTCCTTGTGAGCTTTAAGTCATGTTAGAACTAGTGCTGTCAGGCGATAAAAAAATTGAGAGATTAATTAATTATGATCTGTAATTAATTAATCTAATTAATCTCTTTTTAATCTGACCTAAAAATTGCTGAGAAAAGCCTTCAACTTGAGGTATTTTCATTTAAATTCATTATTACATTATTATTATTACATATAAACCATGAACACTCTAGAGCCACATCAGCTCGTTTGAAATTATAATGTGTTTAATGCTGATTTGCGCAAGTCTCACAGAAACGAAACTTAAAAACCGCATGGCTAATTTGCATAAACTAAGCGAGAAAAAAAATATGCTCTTGTGTCGCTGATGCGGTTCAGCTTCTGTGGGACTGAAGGACACGACTCAGTGGAATATAGATGTTCTTTCTGTGACAGAGTGTTGAAGGTGAAGGTGAGTCTGTTCTGTGTTTGTGTCGTGATGTTTTCAGACGTGTGCAGGTTTATCGCAGATGCGGCGAGAACGAGAATGAAAATCACAATTGTTTGCGGGAGCGATGTGTTATTGTCCCAACAACACATAAAAACAGATTTTATAATAAGGCAACTCGTGTACAGATACAGTAAAGTTAGAGATTAAAAATTAGATGAACGCGATAAAAAAACATAACGCGCTAAATATGACTAATTAATTAATCGAAATTAACGCCAATTGACACCTCTAGTTAGAACGTCGTTTCCTCATCAAAAACACACCTGGAGTTGTGTTTTGTTTCGTTCACATAAACACACAAGCTCGAAATGCTCTACTCCACCTTGTGATGTCACGTAGTAGTTTTCAAGTTAATACACTTAGTGACACATAGTACGGGGTATCATCTGTGTACACCAACTGTTTAACAACAAAGGCATCACCTATTCCTACAGTGAATTTCTCAATGTTTACAATTTTCCAGTAATGCCAAAAGAAAATGCAATAGTTTTTGACGCCATTCCTTCAGGAGGGAAAATGCCGATGTCCACTTACGTACATATTTCTAATGACGACACAACTAAAACAGAGCTGTTTGTTGGTAACTCTGCCCCGTTTTTAAGCTCTAAAACAAATAACAAATGTATAAGAGAACTTATCACAAGAGAATCTATTAGTAAACCAGCTTCTGTTTTTGTCTGGAATAATACATTTACGGACATTAACTGGAATGATGTTTGGCTTTTGCCTAGAAAATATTTTGTAACTAACAAGACTCGTGAAGTCTGTCTGAAAATCCTGCATAGATGTTCCCCTGTTAATGCTGTTATCTAAAAATTTCGCTTAAAGGTTGTATAGAGGATTTTTTAAGGGAAGTGAAATACAGCGACAGTCTTTTTTTCAATTGTTGTGCATGCCTGACACCACCTCCCTCCTCCACAGCTCCCTCAGTAGAAACACCTCCTCCCGCCTCTTTACTCCAGAAATCACACTTGTTTACATCCAGTGCGCGTTCAGAATAACTGTTGAAGTGACCTGTCTAGAAATAATTTAGCGACCGACGCATCAGGTTTTAGACCCTTCGTCTTCGCACAATCGCTGGAAGAAATCTCCAAGAATCACCTCAGCTTGTCTTCGCTCCTTTTCCTCTTCTCTTCTTCTTTCGGCGACCTCAAATACGGACTTTCTTTTCCGGCGAACTGGTCGTGGATTCTCGTCCGCCATCGCAATAAACTTTGTGCGAACTGCGAGGAAGCGACAGTTTGAAAAAGCCTCTAAGAACCGCTGCATAAACCACATAATCCCTGAGCGCCGGCAAGTCACTTACACTAGAAACCTAGGGAGTTTGATTGACAACTCAACAGCCAATAGTAAATGAGGTAGCCTCGTCATCTATTGGCTGATGTTTATCTGGCCTCACTATGTCCACAGTTGATAGATTTTCATTCTTTTTTTTTTTTGGTCATCATAATTACAAGGCTGCTGCATCTCTGTAATGGTGTTTTAGACTTTCTCTGACAATTTGAAACTAAAAAAAAAAATCCTCCATACAACCTTTAAACACAGATCATCTTTGCTCATTCTGTCACAGCGTTGAAGAAACGGTCACCCATTTGTTTTGGGAATGCTCATACACTCAAATCTTTTGGAATGACATTTTTTTTTTTTTGTGAATAGAAAGCTTGATACAAACCTACAATTTAATATAAAACATGTCCTTTTTGGTGTCTTTGAAGAAGAAATTCCTGCTAAAAAAATATATGTGTTGAATTTAATCCTAATCCTACCAAAGTTTCATATTCTTTGCTGTAAATTTTCTAGTCAGAAACACAAATTTGTCATGTTTCAGTCCCTTTTGTCCTCGTATATAAATTCTCTAAATTACTGCACAAATCCCAAAGCCTTGAAAACAAAAGCACTTTTTATGGAATTTGAAATACGAATGTATTTATTTACTTTTCTACATTTGTACATGCACATTTATATATTTACGCTGGGATGCATATGTGTGTTATTAATTGCGCTGATCGAACCTTGTGAGCATATGAACTCTTAAGCCTCCAGCAATGTTTGTGTTTATACCATTGTATATTACATTGTATATTTGAAATAAAAATAAATAAATAAATAAAAAAAAACACATAGTACGGTAACTTCAATGCTGTTTCCTCATCACAAATTCACACTTTTAACACACAAACCCTCCATCCATATTTAGGCTGAGCTCTTCCCTTAACAAAAAACACTCTTGTGACGTCATGAGGTAAAACAGGAAGTGCTCCACTGTGTTTTTAAACTCCATGAGGCCTGTCGTGATGAATACTACAGTGACTTCAGAACATGACAGATGGAAAAAAAAACAAAAAAAACAAATTTGTACTTTTTCTTTGCGCTACAGGGAAATTTTGAGTTACTTTTTGGTTATGACAAGATTTAATCCTTTATTGTCTGCATCTCCAAAGCTCAAAATGCTCTGTTCCACCTTGTGATGTCATGTAGTGGTACTTTTCAGGTAATATACATCACATAGTACAGTGACTTTCAGAGTAGTTTCCTCATCACAAACAGAACACACAAGGTCAATTATTAAGTTGCGGCGGAGCTCTTTTCAGGACAATATTTTCACAATTTCTTTCATAATATTTCAGTCCTGGTTAAATCCTGGTTTAGTCCTGCTTTAGTCCTGATTTTAGTCCTGGTTTAGTTCTAGTTCAGTCCTGGTTCAGTCTGGGTTTAGACCTGATTTAGTCCTGGTTTAGACCTGGTTTAGACCCAGTTTTAGTCCTGGTTTAGTCCTGCTTTAGACCTGGTTTTAGTCCTGATTTTAGTCCTTTATTAATTCTGATTTAAACCTGGTTTAGATCTGGTTTTAGTCTTCATTTAGTCCTTGTTTAGTCCTAATTTTAGTCCTGGTTTAAACCTGGTTTAGTCCTGGTTTAGTCCTCTTTTTAGTCCTGGTATAGTCCCGGTTTAGACCTGGTTTTAGTTCTGTTTTTAGTCCTGTTTCAGTCCTTGTTTAGACCTGGTTTACACCCGGTTTTAGTCCTGATTTAGTCCTGATTTAGACCTGGTTTAAGTTTGTGATTTGAATCCTGGTTTTAGTTCTGATTTTAGTTCTGGTTTAGACCTGGTTTAGTCCTGGTTAAATCCTGGTTTATTCCTGGTTTAGTCCTGGTTTTGTCCTGGTTTAGACCTGGTTTAGTCCTGGTTTAGACCTGGTTTAGTCCTCCCACATCTCCATCTGTCTACACCTCCAAAGCTCAAAATACTCTGTCCCACCTTGTGATGTCACGAAGCAGCAGTATTCACGTTACACGACATCACAAGGTGGAACTGGGTTGTTTTCCGTTTCAGAGAAGAACTCAGCCTGAATCCGCAGAGTTTGTGTCAAGATAAAAGTTTCAGTGCATTTAAATCCAGGACTTCATGTCACGAGTACTTGCCGTGCTCTTACATACATATAGACATTTTTATTCCCGTCTTGAGTTCTCACAGTTTTGCCGCTTGAGATAAATGACAACGGTAACGCTGCCTCAGCACTAAATCACATTATACACAATCCTACGGGACTACTGCTTCCTACAATAGCTGTCCGTGACCATTTCCTGAAGCTAATTTTGACTTATTCTCCCATAAATCAGAACAATTGGCTCCCATAGTCAAATAATTATTGTGTTTGGCAAAAAAGGGGGCATTTTTTCTTCTCCGGAGGCACTGACGTCAACCGGACAATAAAGTTTTAAGCACGAAAAAAGGACGAGAAAAAAAAGCTTTACGGCGCTGCATATTTTACTCGTCGTGAACGCGTCCTCCCAGCTGCTTCCCTTCGCGGATCCTCGGCCAACTTTCGCTTTTATTTATGTCAACAATGAGCTAATCAATGTAAACTGTTTTTACGGCTACCTCTGAAGCGCAGCTCGTAATGAACGGAGTGGATGCGGTAATCAGGGAGAAATGCGAGGGCCGGTCCAGCGCGGCAGGTTTTCCGAGCGTAAATCCGTGGTTTTTGAAAGCAGGGGTCACGAAGGGGTTGGCTCCAGAACGGACAGTTGCGTTAGATCACAAAAGTGTTCACAATAGAAACAACTCTACAGTGTAATGGATTAATCTTTAGGGATGTAACGATATCCAAATCTTTCGGTGCGATATTTTCACGATATACATCTCACGGGACGATATTTATTGTCATACTTTGGAGACAGGACACTAGGGTTATAACTTTTTGAACTTTTTCCCAAAATCAAAGTCCTGCATCATGATTGGATGAACTTTTTGGTATAATTGAAGAAACCAAACTCCATTTTCAACACTCTTTTAAAAAAAGTCCCACCGAAACAAAAAAAAACTAGAAAAGCACTCAGAGAGCGCAGACCTCCGCCAAGGACTACCCCCATTTTTTACATAAATTGCGATAAAATCAGTCTTCTGGATCAGATCCGGATCAGCCTTTGGAATATGAAAGAGGATCCCATTGTCCATCCCTGAGTCAAATTTCATGGGGTTTGGTCAATAATTAACCGAGATATTGAG